TTTTGAAATGGAAAAAATTCTTTCTTTGTCAGTGACTGGGAATCAATTTCAAAGGAAAAATAAAATCGTTCTGAACTCAGCACCTAGAAAATTAATCTAAAATGTCAAAAGAACAGATCAAACAATATTTTAAGAAAGAAAGCAGGAATGAGCATAGTGTAAAAAAAAATATATCAACAACAGTTCACTTCCTATTGTCCAAGATATTGTAAACATATATTTCAAAATTCAAGCTGAAAATAACACTTTCACTGCTGTGTGCTTATAACATTGTAGCCTGGATATACTGGCCCATTTTGGGAAAAATAGGAAATTCCCATTTACTAGAAATAAATGATGACAAATATGCTGACAATCATTTATTACGGACACTGCAATTTTGGTTTTGACTGAATACTCTTCAGTACAGACTAAGCAAAATAATACCCACAGCACACAATATAATAAAAATATGCAAAAAAAAGCAGATATTGTATGCTACTGCATGTCAACACTGGTTCAGTAATAGCACTAAGCATTAGTGCATAATACAAATGTGAAAGGCAGACATTTCACAGTGTGAGCACCAATCCCTCTCTCTGGTACAATGAGAGGGTGCAGCCTCAGGCAGCTGTTCCCCAGGACTGGGCATCTCTCAGTATAATTTTCCTCAGTTGCGACTCTGTCCTTTGACAGAGCCGCCCGTGAGCACACTCTTCCCAAAGACAGAGAAGCAACTGAGAGATGATAAATAAACATGTTACAAACTACTCAAGAATAATTTACACATTTTGCTTCATAGTAATTTGTATGCAGTATTAACTCCTTCCCCCCACTTGGACGAGATGTGACACAGGGTCTTTGGTGGGGACACAGGCACGTATGCCCAGGTCAAAAATTGCCCTCAGCCCCAGCAACCGTCGGTTGTGCTGGCCTCAGTGCAAGCACCAATCCCTCCCTCTTATGCAATGGGAGAGCGCTGCCTCAGGCAGCTGTTTCTCAGGGCTGGGCACCTCTCAGTATAATTTTCTCAGTTGCCCCTCTGTCCTTTGACAGGGAAGCCCCTGAGCGCACTCTGCCCAAAGACAGGATATTTATTGTATATAAAATACAATTGCGGCACAAGGCCAAAATGGGGAGGAGTTGAGGCTGGTCATCACTAACTATCTTATACCTAGCTAATCTGATTCATGACCCATTCACACATTACGGTTTCCACATTCACCATAAGAATTCATCCGTCACCACTCAATCCTCCATCCACCATAATACCGCATCCTCTCAAGGGGAAACCTACAAAACGTGCCCCCATACCTTAACAATTTAATGATAATAATATATATATATATATATATATATATATATATATATATATATATATATATATATATATAAAATTCTAATAATGAAGAATGAGAAGGGAGGATATGAACCCAATAATAAAACTAAAATTCAACACAAAGTAAACTAAACATAACTGATGTTAGTAGGGCCCATCCAACCCTCAAAACGGAGAGGCCGCTGTATTCTGCCAATTGGACAAAATCAAAAGGCTCTCTCGCTAAGGCAGTGGGAAGGTGAAAATATAGATGGACATGCAGAAAATATAAAGCTGACTCAGTCGAGATAAAAAGGGGGGCCAAAACAAACAAAGGTCGGGTATCTCGACTTGAATCATAACCAAAGAGGCGGCTGGGAACAGGCCAGGAACAACACTTACTCACATTAACTAGGTACACTGAAGCTTGTCTAACCTAACCTAATCAAGGCTAGCCCCATTCAAAGAACCAAGCTCGCCTTTTTTCAGCCACCTTTCGTTGAAGACTGTCGAATGCAAGCGTTTTCTGACGCAACTGAGAAATGATAAGCCATGCAAACCCTCTAAGGAGGAATTTACGCACTCAAATTTTATAATTTATATGCTAAAAGCTCAATTTCTGTATTATATATTATCTACTGCTCGGTAATATCACTCTTCAGGTTTAACTAATTTGCATATTGATTTTAAAAAAGTATATTTCATTAATTATCTGTTCTTAATTAGTGTTCTTTTATTCAAGGACTGTTTTGATTTTCATATAAAAAATAGTTCTGTTTAGGAATATTGTCTTATATAGTGCAAAAAAGTATTTGAAATTTGCATTTTGCTTGTCCTTCAACAAGTTGGCATCTATCTGTAAAATTTTCCTTCACTGTAACAAGCCAATTATGATTGAAATAATCATTTAAAATTTTTGTTTTAAATATTTCAAGTAGTGAATATATTTTACTTTGCGAAGTAAAAACTAAAAACACCCACAAACAAAATAGCTTGCTTTCACATACATAAAGCAAAAGAGATCCCTAAATATAACAGCCAAACTTTTTAAAATTATGATGTAAAGAAAGCCTTTTGTAATAAACTAGAATTCAACCAAACCTCTCTAAATTTTAATCAAAACATTGACAAATCACATAATGTATTTGTATCTTTTTTAGCCAAAGACCATTCCTAAACTAACAAAACAAGATCATTCTATGGGACAACCCTAATGAATTGGAAAGACCTATAGCAGAAAGAGATGGAAAAAAAACATCAACAGCTGATAAAGAAAAAAAACAACTGGTTAATATTCTGAGAAGCAAATATCTTTTGGAAACTGGATAGCATAGATTGTGTCGAAATGTAGAGAAAAGCAAGAACCCATGGTAATATCAACAAAACGAAGATGAAGAAAATTTTCTGGTCTCAAAAACACTTTGAATTACACTGCAATCCTGACCACACCCATCTGAAAATGCCAGAGGAAATAGAATATACAATGGAATATATTTGAACATTTCAAATTTTGTGAAAACTTAAATAATAATGATTAATGAAATTAAGAAAGCAATAAAATGTAATAAAAATAAAGCATCCCTTGATGAAATATAATAAAAAATAAAGCATCCCTTGATGAAATGCAATAAAAAATAAAGCCTCCCATGATGAAATATAATAAAAAATAAAGTCTCCCTTGATATTAATGTGGCTGAAGTTTTGATAGTAGCTTACTCTGTCTCCAAAGTCAGAAGCAAATTTTTCTACTTTATGTAGGAAGTCTGAAATCAAAAGCAGACCCTAAAGCATTGGAAGTTTGTCATGCATAAATTTACTATAGAAACAGACATAGTCATGAAGTTCCTCAGTGATACAAAGGTATTGAAGTTGGTTCCATTATAGTGAAAATGGTAATTAATTTTTTACTAACTGAAATCTTACCATTCTATTAGTCACCTTCTAATAACCCAATTTTATTTTCATTCTGGTATAAGACAAGAATGTGTCTTCTCACCAGACTTATTCCATTTATACAGTGAGGTGATTCTGAGAGAATTAGATGTCCTAACAGGATTCATTATTAGTGGCCATAATTTTAACATAAGATATGCAAATGACACAGACATAGAAAGGAAACTACAATAACTCCTACAGAAATTAGTGAAGAAAAGCAAGAAAAGACTAAACCTCAATGGCAAGAAGATAGAATGCATGGCTGTCAGCAAGAGTAACAGCCCAACATGCAAATTACAAATTGGAGATGCCAAAGTACAACAATTTAAATATTTGGGAAGTCTTTTAACAGAGGATAACACTGAAATCCAAAGGTACATTGTGATAGCAAAAGATGTCTTACAAAAGCAAAGCAAAATATTAAGAAATGGGAAAATTTTATTAGAAACAAAAAAAAAAAGAGTATTGAACTGTTACATAATATCAGTCTTTCTATATGTTATACAATACCTATGGACTATAATGGGTATGTCCCAATCCATATAAATACAGTAGAATATACTGTATGTTGGATTCATTGTGGGATTCACTGGGATTCACATTGATTTACTTCTAGCTCACCACTATCAGTTGATTACTTACAACACACCACTGGTGAATCTTGTATGTTCTTCCTGCTATAAATATTATCGTTCCATTTCCAATCTTCGTTTTAGTTATTCTTATTCAGTAACCTTTTCCTAAGTTACAACACTATTTGACAGTGAATGTTGAACAATCTCCTCACAGATGAAGAGGTGACTTGAAGCAACAGAAATGTGGTTCCAGAGAAGGATGCTGGTGAGCAACAGTGAAGTTTTAGACAAACAGGAAACTTATACTTAGCATCAGAAATAGATAATTGAAATTTCTAGAGAAAGAAGGTTTGGAAAATTTGATAGTTACAGGGCTGATTAAAAGCAAGTGAGCTAAAGGAAAACAATGCATAACCTACCTAGCAAGCTTAAGTAAATGGATGGTGGAAAAGGACTTAGGTACAATAACAAAATGACAAAATTTATTAAGAGCTATAAAGGACAGGAAATTGTGGAGAGCCATGATTGCCAACATCCTGAAGGGACACAGCACAAAAGAAGACTTCTACTCAACTCTAAATAACCCAATGTCATTAATTTAACCAACCTAACTGAGCCTAAATGAAGGAATTATGTTAAAAAAATATTTCTTGTGCAAAATAAATGCCTTTTTTTTTTCTTCATTAGGCAACAGAGTTACAGATGAACCTATGTAAAAATAAACACAATTCAGTTTTTTTAATTTTTTTTTTATTGAAATTGTTTTAAACTTGGATTTGTGGTTGAAAGGGTTGAAGGTAATTGCTAAAGGTTTGAATTATTTTCTGAACTTTGATGAGCATTTGTATAAAAGCCAACAAGAGATTTCAGTAGAAAAATACTTTGGGGCTAATAATATAGACAAAATATAAACATTTATTAATCCCATATTTATACCCTTTAGGATTTGTTCTATTTTTCTAATCCCATTTTAAAAAATCAATAAGCATTATATTTGTGCAGATTCACTCATAGTGAATTAAGAAAATAAAATACGAAAATTATTTCCAATTGAATACGTCTTTCTGAATTTCTTTACGAGTTTCTTTTCATTTTCTCTCTTACTCGGCATCCATAATTTGTGTTTACCACACATTGAGCTGTTCAGGATGGAACAATGTTTTGTTGCACCTGAAGCTAAGAATTGCATCAGGATGTCTTTTTCTCCATTATCTTGGATTTTTCATTTGGCTTCTTTTTTTTTTTCATTTAATTGCTCACTAATTCTTATTTGCTTTTCATACCTTTCACTTTTCCTCTTAATTTCTCTCATCTCATTCATTATTTCACATCTCATAATTCATGACTTTATCTTTTTTCTCTTTCACATTCTCATTCATTTTCTTTCAGATTTATGTTTATCCTCTCTGCCTTTCTTCATTCTTTATATATGCCAACTTTTCAGACATTCTTTCTTCTTTCACTTTGACTCTCTCTCTTCTTTTTGCTTTGCCCCTCTCTCTTTTCTTTTCGCTTTGCCTCACTCTCTTCTTTTCGCTTTGCCTCTCTCTCTTCTTTTCACTTTGCCTCTCTCTCTTCTTTTCCTTTGCTCCTCTCTTCTTTTCCTTTGCCTCTCTCTCTTCTTTAAGCTTTGCCTCCTCTCTTCTTCGCTTTGCCTCCTCTCTTCTTTTTCGCTTTGCCTCTCTCTCTCTTCTTTTTCGCTTTTGCCTCACTCTCTTCTTTTCCTTTGCTCTCTCTCTCTTCTTTTAAGCTTTGCCTCCTCTCTTCTTTTCGCTTTGCCTCACTCTCTTCTTTTCGCTTTGCCTCACTCTCTTCTTTTCGCTTTGCCTCACTCTCTCTTCTTTTCGCTTTGCCTCTCTCTCTCTTCTTTTCGCTTTGCCTCTCTCTCTTCTTTTCGCTTTGCCTCACTCTCTTCTTTTCGCTTTGCCTCTCTCTCTTCTTTTCACTTTGCCTCTCTCTCTTCTTTTCGCTTTGCCTCACTCTCTTCTTTTCACTTTGCCTCTCTCTCTTCTTTTCCTTTTGCCTCACTCTCTTCTTTTCACTTTGCCTCCTCTCTTCTTTTCGCTTTGCCTCTCTCTTCTTTTTCACTTTGCCTCTCTCTCTTCTTTTCGCTTTGCCTCTCTCTCTTCTTTTCGCTTTGCTCACTCTCTTCTTTTTAAGCTTTTGCCTCTCTCTCTTCTTTCCTTTGCCTCACTCTCTTCTTTTCGCTTTGCCTCACTCTCTTCTTTTCGCTTTGCCTCTCTCTCTTCTTTTCGCTTTGCCTCTCTCTCTTCTTTTCGCTTTGCCCCTCTCTCTTCTTTTCTTTGCCTCCTCTCTTCTTTTCGCTTTGCCTCTCTCTCTCTTCTTTCGCTTTGCCTCTCTCTCTTCTTTTCGCTTTGCCTCCTCTCTTCTTTTTCGCTTTGCCTCCTCTCTTCTTTTTCTTTTTGCCTCCTCTCTTCTTTTCCTTTGCCTCTCTCTCTTCTTTTAAGCTTAGCCTCTCTCTCTTCTTTTCGCTTTGCTCACTCTCTTCTTTTCGCTTTGCCTCACTCTCTTCTTTTCGCTTTGCTCACTCTCTTCTTTTCGCTTTGCCTCTCTCTCTTCTTTTCGCTTTGCCTCACTCTCTTCTTTTCGCTTTGCCTCACTCTCTTCTTTTCGCTTTGCCTCTCTCTCTTCTTTTCGCTTTGCCTCACTCTCTTCTTTTCGCTTTGCCTCACTCTCTTCTTTTTTCTTTGCTCCTCTCTTCTTTAAACACCTCTCTTTTTGCCTCTCTCTCTTCTTTTAAACTTTGCCTCTCTCTCTTCTTTTCCTTTGCCTCTCTCTCTTCTTTTCGCTTTGCCTCTCTCTCTTCTTTCCTTTGCCCCTCTCTCTTCTTTTTCTTTGCCTCCTCTCTTCTTTTCGCTTTGCCTCTCTCTCTCTTCTTTTCGCTTTGCCTCTCTCTCTTCTTTTCTTTGCCTCCTCTCTTCTTTCGCTTTGCCTCTCTCTTCTTTTTCCTTTGCCTCTCTCTCTTCTTTTCGCTTGCCTCTCTCTCTCTTCTTTTCCTTTGCCTCCTCTCTTCTTTTCCTTTGCCTCACTCTCTTCTTTTCGCTTTGCCTCCTCTCTTCTTTCGCTTTGCCTCCTCTCTTCTTTTTCGCTTTGCCTCTCTCTTTTTCCTTTGCCCCCCTCTCTCTCTTCTTTTCCTTTGCCCCTCTCTCTCTTCTTTTGCCCTCTCTCTCTTCTTTTTCCTTTGCCCTCTCTCTCTTCTTTTAAGCTTTGCCCCTCTCTCTCTTCTTTTCGCTTTGCCCCTCTCTCTCTTCTTTTCGCTTTGCCCCTCTCTCTCTTCTTTTCGCTTTGCCCCTCTCTCTCTTCTTTTCACTTTGCCCCTCTCTCTTCTTTTCGCTTTGCCCCTCTCTCTCTTCTTTTTCACTTCTCTCTTCTCTCTTCTTTTCGCTTCTTTTTCACTGCCTCTTTTTCGCTTTGCTCCTCTTTTGTCTTTTCACTTCCCCTTTTCTTCTTTTCTCCTTTCCACTCCCTCTTCTTTTCTTTTTGTCCCTACCTTTTCTTTTCTCTTTGCCTCTCTTTCTCCTTTTCTCTTTGCCTTTCTATATGCTTTCTCTGGGCTTGACCATCATTCTCTGTTACCAATGAGCAATATGTAACTATTTTGACCATGAACCAAATCCCAACCCACATTTTCTTGATATTTGTTAAGTTTAGAAGAAGGATTATAATTTTTGTCAGTGAAGAATGCATGCTGAGAAAATCAGCATTCAACTTGTAAACTGTACACTTTTAGTTATAAACTAGGCTACTTCCTCTCTCTGCCTGTCTCTCTCTTTATCTCTATGATTTCTTTTTCTTACACCTTCATTCATTTCTCTTCTTTTCTTACTTTTTCTTTATTTATTTGCTCCTTTTATTCTCTCTCTCTCTCTCTCTCTCTCCATCATACTAATTTTACTCTCTTTTTTACATTTTATTTCTCCTATCTCTTCTTCAATCTCCTTCTCTCCTATTTCCTGCTCTTTCTTTCTCTCCTAATAATGATTATTTTTTCTCTTGCACTCTCGCTCTTGTACTAATTTTTCTCTCTCCATTACCTTTTTATTTCTCCTCCCTCTTTTTCACTCTTCCTTCTCTTCTTTTTTCCATTCTTTCTCTCCTAATAATGAACTCTCTCTTTGTATATCTCCCACTCATTTTTCTTTCTCCCTTATCTTTTTGTTTCTCCTCTTCCTTCTTTTCTCCTTCCCACTCTTTCTCTCCTAATAACAGTCTCTTTTTCTATCTCTTACTCATTTTTCTTTCTCCCTTAACTTTTTATTTCTTCTCTCTCTTTGTTTTTCCTTCTCTTTTACTTCCCACTCTTTTTCTCTTAATAATTATCTTTGTCTATCTTTCACTCATTTTTCTTATCTCCCTTATGTTTTCCTCCTCTCACTTCTTCACCCTTCTTTCCTTTTCTCTTTTTCACACTTTGTCTCCTTCATTAATTTTCAGCAACTTTTAAACAGATTTTCCTGTGTCATCCTTGCATCTCTATATTTCCACATAGTCATTTACTTTTTTTTTTTTTTTTTCTCCAGGTGAACAGCATTGGTGTTGAAACTGCAACGCATGATGAAGTTGTACAAGCTCTGAAGAATGCAGGTGAAAGGCTCACGCTGACAGTGAAGCACTTTAAGCAAGCCTCCTATTTCCTTAACCGGGGTAAGTCATGCTAAATCAGGTTTAAAAATTGAATAAAGCAATCTTGCCTCAAGATTATAGTGAATCTTTTGAGGAAATGTATAATTCTTTAATGCAAAATGCCAACCCTCAACCCCTAACCCCAAACAAATCATTTTGCCAAAGGGAACTACACATGAGCATTGCATATTTGGCAAGAAATCATTCTTCCATATAAAACATTTTCCTGGCAAACACTATAAAAAAAAAAAAAAGAAATTGTAAACCAGCAAGGTCATTCAGTGTCATCCAGGATATAACAATCACAGAGATTGCATTAAAATTGGTAACCCTTCAAAAGTAATTTATACATGAAGGATATCAATAATTTGCACTATTTGTTAGCTGTACATGATATAGGGGTGCTGAAAAATTCTCCATTAAAAAAAAGAAGTTTCCTCACGCACAAAAAAAAGCAATATAAACAGATTTTGGTAAGAGAATCAATGCAGTACCTCCTTGATGGAGTAATAGATAGCAGCTTGGGTTGAGGAATCGGAGAGCCGAATTCAAATTCCGGTCGAATCCATTACATTCACTTACATGCTAATACCGTTAGGAAAGGTATGAATCTTTTTCTTCTCTCTCCAGCTATGGGTAAATAGCAGGATAGACTGGGTTCTATAGCCTTGGATGGCAACTGGTCTACTGCAGAAAGAAATGGCAATCTACTTCAGGAAAAAAATCTGCCTCATTAGTCATGTATCGAAAGATACATGATCGCCCAAGCATGTATCACGCATGGCCTCATTATATAATCATGAATAAATATGGTGTATTCACAAGACTATTTTTTTAGACATATCTATGAAAGCATCCATGTTTATATATATATGTTTTTAAACAACAAATGGCAACATATATTATGAAATGGACTAAGTCTGACAATTATTTTAATATATTTTCTGTTTATATGTTATTTTTATAGATAAAAATATTTAAGTAAATGATCTGTTTATAATAAACAGTATTAACTACATTTACTGGCCTGAATGTCCAAAAACTTTCATAGAAAATATGCGTATATGATGTCATTTATTTACATTATTTCCCATGATTACAAATGTTATATTTATTGGATACACACTTTTTTTTAAACAGTGTAAAGCTATATCTACTGGCAAATGCATAAGCTGGTAGACATAAACTTACATTGTTTAAAAACCAGGTATGTCTACTTAAACACACGCATCCATTAAGTACAACATTTAAAGTCATGAAATGTACATATATATGTGTGTATATATGAGAGAGAAATTTAAAGTATACTGTACTTATGGGAGAGAAGTGTTTAAGTATCAAGGACAGACTGACTGTTTTGTTTTTTTACCACTTATCAACCTTTTTAAAGTTATAATCAAAACATATTTTTAGATTGTAAGAATGTCTTGGAGATAATAATGATTTTCTAATATGCATATTACTATTTAAACCGTAGCTGAGTGGAGAAAATGTGGATTCATACATTTCCCAAGAGTATTTGCATATAAGTCAATATAACTTACTCGACTGAAATTCAAACTTGGCTCTCTGATTTCTAATTTCAAGTCCTTACACCACCCACATATCCAGGCTTGCAAAACCTGGTATTCTCAAGCAGTCTCCATATAGGTAATTACTAGGTTCAACATTTCTTAACATTCATGATCAGCCAAGAACCAATGTTTCAATGTGATGTGTGCATAAACCTATCAAGGATAGAGCATATATAAACATAAGCTTAAACATAATCCTCATGACTTGTCTAAGCATGAAACAAACTGATACCACTCACTATTGACACCTATGTCCACGCTGCTTATATATATATATATATGTCTGTGTGTGAATTGAGATCCAATTTCAGATCAGAATCCAACAGAATGATAGTATAAAGAACAAATAGGAAACATTTATCAATTTAACATGTTTCACTTTTATTAAAGCTTCATCGGAAAATCAGATGTAGAGAGAAAAAAAAAAGAAATTCTGGTACTTTTGTTTTGTTTGATTTTCATTGGTTAATCAGGTTTCACATGCATTTGACTTGTTAACCAAACATTACTATGATTTATGGTGTTCCAAACAAGGAAAAATTAACAGATTTCAAGCCTAACTGAAAAAAAACATAAATATAGCTTCATGTATGAAAGTGTATCATAATTTTAGTTTGTGTAATTCGTATTTAAATAATGTATATTCATAAGTGGGTGTACCCAGTAGACATTTTTTTTATGTTTGTTAGTTGTCTGCATGTTGATTTAGGGATGTTTTTACATAAACTCCAGTTGTGGTAGATAAACATGTTAGATTCTCTAACAATGGGTTTAATAAAGGTTGGTACTGTAATATAGTGTTTTTGAAATGTGTTTATAGTTGGTAAAATATTTGACAAGATTCTGTCAAATTATTTTTGACATAAAAAATTATGATCGTTTTTCATTAAGGCACCATTTCTAAAATCAAAGTTATGGCCAATTTTCTTATATATGAATAA